TAAGTTCCTCGACCTTTGGATGGCCTGGAAAATGCACCGCTTGGACTGGTCACTGGTCCACTGCCTTGATGTCTATCACTGTTTGCCCTGTAGCCTGTAGCCCTGCAGGCTGCGTGCCACTGGTGACTAAGGCTGTCCACAACTTCCCCAACAGGCAATTTTGGCACAAGGACCCCCTCGTGGCCTTAGATCTATACGATAGCTGGAGATTCCTGCTCAGTGCCCCTTTCCCTCCACTCCCTGGGTGTCACCCTTGCATCATGTCTGGCCATCTTCTCTGCCTGTTCTCATAGGAACTTCCCTAGATTTCTCTTGTACATCAAATCCAGCAATAGTGTCTGCCTCTTAGAGGGTCAGAAATAGCATAAGTGGCTTGAGACTTGCTGGATGGGGGCTTGGGAGGACTCACTTGGAGATCTTGGGGAGGAGGATGCTACCCTGGTTGGCATGTGAGTCATGAGGTGGTCCTGGACTCAGATGCTATTTCATTAGTGTGACCTTGGGAAATCTCTTGAGCAGAGCAATGCTGAGGCCAGTATGGTAATATAGGCATTTGATGGATGAGGAGCGGTCAACTCTGCTGGTGCCCTTCAGAGGGTCTGTGAGGTGGGCTGCTACCATAGGTATGAGGGCCAGAGAGCTTTTTTGGAGAGGCCCTTGTCTCCAGCAGCAGAGGACCAGGTGGTTGAAGATTTCAGTAGTGGAGCTGTAGAGCTCAGCCAAGGTAGCTCCATGGGGTGGGGCCCTAGTGAGGCTCTGGATCTTGAGACAGGAGAAAACGTGTGGATGTAAGGCCTGGATCACACTAGTGCTGTGGTCTCCCTGGCCCTCTGGACTATAAGGTGGCCACCTTCCTAGTAAGAGCTGGTGAGACCCTTTTAGGCCACAGGTAGCCCCCATGGAGCTGTCTCCACTTCCCCTTCTATATACTGAGGACCTTAATTAGAGTTGAATTCCAGAATACTCTAAGGACATAGCAGGCCAGATAAAAAGAGGGCAGAGAGAGTAGTAAGAATTAACTGTTGCATGTCCTGGCAGAAGCCAGGGAAGTGAGGCTCTTGGACTCAGATTTCAGTGTTTGGTTAAGGGGGCTGGAATGCAGCAATGTGAACTCGAGGGTGCTTTCTGGAGCTACCAGACTGAACACCTTAGCCAGGGGCACAGCATTCTCCACTGCATGGCTCTGACAAGTCTGGAACGAGGTGGTGACCTTCTTACTACTCTCCAAATTTGTTACACTCATGGTAAGTTGACCAACAAAGGGGCCCATTAAAGCAGGTAATGAGCTCACCTGTGCTTTAATTAGAATCGATGTGCGTTCACATTTGGAGTAACCTCACATCAGGTTGTTGGCTTATGGTAGGATGAGAACTCTTTCAGTCAGTGGAGGTCTGAATACTCTGTTACAGGGGCTGGGAAGGTGGCTCAGTGGTAGAGTGCTTGCCTTGCATGCCTGAGACCCTGCGTTCCATTCCTCAGCACCACATAAGCAAAAAGAAAAAGGCCGGAAGGGGCGCTGTGGCTCAAGTGGTAAGAGTGCTAGCCTTGAGCTGAAGAGCTGAGGGACAGCACCCAGGCCCGAGTTCAGGCCCCACGACCAGACCACCCCCCCCAAAAAAAAAAAAAAAGAATACTCTGTTCCATCACATACTGCCCTTGCTCATGAGCATGGATAAATAAAATGATGTCCCTGGCGTGCAGCAGACAGCAGGGTCACATTGAGTATTAAGAATAGCTCTTCCGGGCTGGGAAGGTGGCTCAGTGGTAGAGCGCTTGCCTTGCATGCCTGAGGCCCTGGGTTCCATTCCTCAGCACAACATAAGCAAAAAGAAAAAAGCCAGAAGTGGCGCTGTGGCTCAAGTGGTAGAGCGCTAGCCTTGAGCTGAAGAGCTGAGGGACAGTGGCCAGGCCCAGAGTTCAGGCCCCACGACCGGACCCAAAAAAAAAAAAAAAAAAAAAAAGCTCTTCCTCCTGTGGCTATGCAGAGTAGTCTTGCTCTAAATTTGCACAGCCATGGAAATGTGTAGTACAGTGTTTGTGGCTGTGGAAATATACGGTAGAGTAAAACATGTATTTGGGCCAGGTGCTAGTGGCTCATAATCCTACTTAGGGGGCTGAGGATTGGAGGATTGTGGTTTGAAGCTAACATGAGCAGAAAGTCTGAGACTCCATTAATCAGCAAAATGCTGGATTAGAGGCATGGATCAAGCAGCAGAGCACTAGCCATGGGCAAGAAAGCTGAACAAGAAAAACTCCAAATCCCTCCCTAAAGTATTTGGTCTTTAGCACGTAGTTGCTAAAACGCTTTATTTATTTTGAGGAACAGGAGTGTCTGTTATTTATAAAAGCCCTTTTCATCCACACCTGAGTTCATGCTGAGAAGTGATGCTGAGTAGAGTCCTAAGACAGCAGTCAGGATGGGGGTCGTCACCAGAAATACCAAACAAATAAGGTGAGGTATCTCCTGGTATCTTGGGGGAGGGAGAACACCAGCTAATGGGTTATAAAAACCCTTGAACAGGGGCTGGGAAGGTGGCTCAGTGGTAGAGCACTTGCCTTGCATGCCTGAGGCCCTGGGTTCGATTCCACAGCACCACATAAGAAAAAAAGAAAAAAGCCGGAAGTGGCGCTGTAGCTCAAGTGGTAGAATGCTAGCCTTGAGCTGAAGAGCTGAGGGACAGCGCCCAGGCCCAGAGTTCAGGCCCCATGACCGGACCTAAAAACAACAACAAAAAACCCTTGAACAATGAGATTTATGGACTCTCGGGTTGATTTGCCCTCAGGGTGTTGGAAGGTGGGATGCAATGGGTCCCAAATCTTGCTCTAAGCTTTTAGCATAGTTTATCCCTTATAGAAAGTTGGTAAACATGTCTTCTCAACCTATGAAAAATTTGCAAGCTTCCAAATTTACAGCAGATTAGTCAGAAGTATTGGAAGCCCCTGGGATTTGCCATTGGTACTTGAAGTATAGATCTTGTGAGGATAAGCCCTCCACTTGTGCAGACTGGGCTAACACTAGGGAGTAAAGTGTCAGAAACAGAATTGAATTGTTGGGAATCCATTTGTGTAAGAGGACTGAGTGGCATATCAGAATTAGAATCTGAAAGACACAGGTGTGCACTGAGTGTGTGTGTGTGTGTGTGTGTGTGTGTGTGTGTGTGTGTGTGTGTGTGAATTTTGAGGACTTAAAATATAAAACAGAAGCCGGGCGCTGGTGGCTCACGCCTGTAATCCTAGCTACTCAGGAGGCTGAGATCTGAGGATCGCGGTTCAAAGCCAGCCCGGGCAGGAGAGACCGTGAGACTCCTATCTCCAATAAACCACCAGAAAACCGGAAGTGGCGCTGTAGCTCAAGTGGTAGAGCGCTCGCCTTGAGCTGAAGAGCTGAGGGACAGCGCCCAGGCCCAGAGTTCAAGCCCCATGACCGACAAAAAAAAAAAAAAAAAAAAAAAAAACAGTTCCCTAGTATGTTTTTAAATTTTTTTTTCTTTTTTCTTTTTTTTTTTGCTGGTCGTGGAGCTTGAACTCTGGGCCTGGGCACTGTTCTGAGCTCTTCAGCTCAAGGCTAGCACTCTACCACTTGAGCCATAGCACCCACTTCCAGCTTTTTCTGCTTATGTGGTGCTGAGGAATCGAACCTAGGGCCTCATGCATGCAAGGCAAGCGCTCTACCACTGAGCCACCTTCCCAGCCCGTTTTTTAAATTTTTTTGTAATTAGTTTTTTTTTTTAATTCTTGAAGTGATTTTGGATCTACTGGATTAAAGTATTCCATTACAAATAAACTGGGCACAGTGGTGCACACAATCCCAGCACTCAGGAGGCTGAGGCAGGAGGGCAGTGAGTTTAAGGCCAGCCTAAGCAACTTAGTGAGACACTTATTAAAATACATATGGTCTTTGTATATCAGATAGCATACTGAACTATTAATCACTATTGTGTTAGTCAGTGCTTAATTATCAGCCTTGGTTGGCATTGCTGAGGTCATTTGCTGATAATTAGCTTGGGATCATTCATAAAGTCCTTATGGTATGACAGTATGAACTCTTAAAACAAATCTGATGAAACTGAGAAGAAATCAGCCATTAGCAGTTGAAGCTCCAGTTGTGGAAGATGGCCATAGGCCTGGGTCACAGTGTGACCGATGTTAATAGTGTCCCCAAACCACTGTCTGGTCTGCATCTTTCTAGAGCTCAGACGCAGAACAGCTCTGTTGTAGGAGTCATGAGGAGGGAGGGCTGTTGCTAAAGGCTGTTGTAAGGTGCCAGACCCTGGTGAGTTGTCATAACCCATTGTTCTTTCTCTTTAACTGATGAAGGATGGGCTTTAGATGCTGATGCTATGAACACAGCTCCTGGTCAGGCCTCGATCCTGCCCATTAAGGAGGCAGCCAGGAGCCCCTTGGCTGGGTCACATGTGCTCTCTAGAGAAAGGAACTTGAAGGCTTGAGGGGAATATCTTGTCTCACCTTGAGCCTGGATCAGAGTGTTCCTGGAAGCTCTGCTTTGGGAACTGCCATTTCTGTAGGCTATGTGAGGAAAACTTCATGGGCTTAGCCAGACTTAATATTGTCTAGAACAACCATCACAGATCATGCATTGCATTGCTGGTTTAACAATTCCCTGATGCAGGAAAGTCTGCTGCCCAACAAGACTTCCATGTCTCATGCTCAAAATTTTCAGATTGCACATACCAGAAAGGGAGAACCTATGACCTAGAAGAGGGAAGAAACAGATTCTCATAGAGCTTATTAGAAGAATGGTGAGGTGGAACCATGAATGAGAACTTTGGCCCCCGACAAGAGTGTATCCAGAACTCAGGCCAGCATATCCAGCATCTTTGTTGCTATGTGAGCAATGACATGACAAAACCAAGGCACCTGTGAGTCATGCTTTGCTTATCCTAACCTTCTGCCAAAATGTAGGAATCCTGAACATCCCCCTGCTGTGCTGTGTGCTGTAGAATGAGCTTATTCCACAGTACACGAGGGACACTTTCATGAAGAAATAAATTCAATTCAAATTTATTAGTGAATGTAAGGCATGTAAAGCCTTCATGAAAGTTAAAAGAATCCAGTTACAAAAGAAGCGCTGTGTACAATCTCAAATAGCTGGAAGTACAATGGGCTTCATATTTTACAAAGTACAAAAATTATTTCATATACAAAGAAAAATACAAATAATGTGCAAAACCCACTTTTTTCTCAGGTGGCAATTTATAAAATGAATACGATAGAAAATCCTTCATTCTTATTCCCCCACTTTATATATTAACACAGTTCTATTTTCTAGTGTGAGGATAATTTTAAGTTTGAAAAATCTGATTTTAATCTACAAAGAAGTTTCTATTTTTTTTAAAAAGGGAATCTTTCATTACTGAAGTTTTATGAATGGATCTGTTCAGTTAATTTTATATTAAATTATAAGCAGGCTATCTGAAAACAAGGATACAGGAATATGTACACATTTTTTGAAATATTAGTTTGGTATTTAACATATTAACATTTGAAAACAAACACAACTGATCTGGCCACCTGGCCCAGGCTGGTATCAGTGGCTATGTGGAGAAGCTGTTCCTGCTCACCTTGAGGCTGAACAAACACAAGGTATCTGTCATAAGAAGGAGAGTCTAAGAACAGACTTCGAATGTGCGCAGCTTTTGGGTACTTTCCCTGTCATGGTACCACCTTGTCACAAGCATTGTGTGGTCGTAAGTAATGGCTTCAGTCTTTTCCAATTTCTTCACTTGATAGGAGTTCAGTGCGAGTGCTTTGTGAGTTAGTGCATTCAGCTCTTTGCATGTTATTTTGTCTAAGGAAGTGTCCAGGAGCAGAAGAACATGCAGGAGCACAGGCCCTGCATCCCTAGAGTAGCTCTGGTCTGGAAGACTCCTCTTAGAAGCAGTTTTCCTGCATAGGCCTGGTCAATGTTGCTCCATCCCCTAGCCAAGTCATCCCACTCCCCCAACTCAGGACAACCTTGTATGCTTCTTCTTTGCCTGCCACTGAGCAGTGATGTTCTCTTGCTGTGAACCTTAATGGCAGAGCAGGGCCCGTGGAAGCACCTTTTGGCAGCACCAGAAAACTGAGCACTTCAAAGGTTAGGCAAAAGGGCAGGGACTTCTGATGGGAAATCTATGTAGGACATAAGATGATCTTTGGAGGGTTTTGATTTTTTTTCTTGTTAAAAACACTCCAAGGAACTATGACTGGGAAATAAAAAAGACCTTCACATGAGAAGTGGGAGCCATTTTGCCTAGGGGGAAAGAGGACAGTAGTTCAGAATATTCTCCTGATTCTTAACCACTTAGGTCCTGTTAGAACTATCAGTGCAACATACAGAGATGATCTGGAGCTCTTCACCAGACCTGTGTGATGCATCCATTAGATAAAGTGAATGTAGCAAGTGTTGTAAGAGGGGCTGGGTAAGATGGGGTAGAAAGGAGAATCGAGAAGCTCAGGCCCTAGGATGACTCTCCATCCATCCAAGCTTTTCTTTCCATATGGCAGCTTAGCTTTCCACTTCTGCTTAGGATGACAATGGGCATCAGGCATCGGATATACAGCTCTGGATCCTGTCTATCCACTGCTGGGCACTTGGCCCATCCTGGGCACAGAAGTTATACACACGTTTGCTGGTCTTGAGCTGTAAAACCAAATAACAGAGAAGCTTATGATGGGTAGAGTTGTTTTGTGTCTTTGGGCAAGCTGCAAATCAATTCCTGAGACCTTCCTTTACATGCTGCCCCGCAACTACTGTCTTCTCCTCCCCCTTCTTTATGGTATCATCACTGCCTTTGGCACTTTACTCTTCTCATTTCCAAGGTCACAGGGAATGTGAATGGGGAGAAAAGGGGCAGAGAGATGGGGACATGAGGAGAGTTATCTTTCTGGGCCCACCTCTGACTGGTGTGGGGAAGAATCAGTAAAGTCATCATCCTTACTTTGAAATTAGCCTCTGTGTTACCTTTCTTCAGTTGGTACTAAAGGAAGCCCAGGGCCAGGGAAATGGCCTCATGGCCTGAGCAGGGTCCTGGAATGTGACCTCTGCTCTTTATAGAGCCATACGTGACTCTTAAGGATTAGATAAGTCTCCGCTTCAGCACTGATGCAGATGTTAGGACAGAATTATGTATGACTAAGAACAGGCTTTTTGTTTGGGGTCAGGAGGAAAACCACTGGATATAGAAGCTGCAGCAGCTGTTGTTGAAGGCAGGTGGTGCCTGACAGCATTTTACAAGGTATTCTTCCATGTGTGGTCCTGAGAAGCAGAGGCACCTAGGAGAGGTCAGGCTTGGGATGAGAGTGTTGATTTCAAGTTCTGGAACATTGCTCACAGCCAGGACTATCACCCATCTGTGGTGCCTACCAACTGCTCTGAGGGCCCATAATTCTTGCAGATGGAAAACAGCAAAGAACTAGGGTCAACTTACATCAAAGAATGCCTTGTCACTTGTGTGCTTTGGGGCCCCCATGCTGGGGCTGGCAGGAATGACCATCTCCACTTCGGCCAGATCAATGTGGCCTTTACAGCTCGTGTCCTCACCCGAGTCATAGTAGCGTAGCTAGGACCAAAAGGATGAAGGTGAGACACAAGAGACACAGAAATGGAAAACAGCATTGTTTTCCAAACTGTATTTGATTACTTCCTCTGTATCTTGCTTAATTATATATGCTAAACCTAGAAGAATATGGAGAAAATGAGTAATAGCCGTCACTTCTAGGAAGGGAAGCTAGATGGGAAATGAACTGGTGGGAAAACTGTTTAGATATTATTTTAAAAAAGCAAGCTGCCAAATAGCATGAAGATATAAATTCCCAAGAACCCATCTGGACACTGTGGCATGCACCTGTCATTCCACATATAGTGGAAAGTATAAATTGGTGGAATCCTGGTCCAGGCAGAGGCCAAAAATGGTTAGAGGTACGGCTCAATCAGTAGTAACGTACCTGCCTAGCAACTGCAAAGCCCTACCATACTGGAAAAAAAAGTTCCCATTTAGCCAGTTGTTGGTGCCATATGCCAGTAACCCTAGCTATTCAGGACGCTAAGATCTGAGAGGATTGTAGTTCAAAGCCAGCATGTAAAGTCTATGAGCCTCTTATCTCCAATTAAGCACCAGAAAACCAGTGCTGGGGCTCAAAGTGGTACAGCACTAGCCTTGAGCAAAACAGCTCAGAGACAACACCAAAGTCCTGAGGAGTTCAAGCCCTACAACCACCACCACCAACAAAAACAACGTTTGACAGATGAAATTTTTTAGATTTCTATAAAATGTTTTAATCTGTTGTAATAATCATGTATTCCTTTTGGAATAAGAAAAAAATGGCAAAGCATATTAAAAGTTAGAGCTCGCTGGACTTCAGTGCACAGGAATGCCTGGTGTTTGCATCTCTGTGGGCCAGTCTCAGACTTCTCTCTCTCTTCCCTCAGGCTTGGTATGAGTACGACTAAATGGAAAAACTATATACCTTCCATATTAAAGAAATCTAAAAGATTGGTAAGAATGCAAGTATAATTTGATGCAATTTTCAATTACAGAAAAATAACATTTCTACATTATATTTAGTGGTTTAATGAAACTTTTCTACAGAGGATAGGCTCTATGATTTTAGAGACACTGCTATTTTAAAGCACAGTTCTGAAAAAGGAGTCTATTTGTATATTTTAAAATGCTTAGACAGGCGCATAGCTGTAATCCTAACTACTCAGGAGGCTAAGATCTGAAGTTTCTGGTTTGAAGCCAGTCTGGACAGGAAAGGCCATAAACTTTTATCTCCAATTAACCACCAAAAAAGCCAGAAGTGGAGCTGTGGTTCAAGTGGTAGAATACTCCTAGCCTTGAGCAAAACAGCTCAGGGACAGCGCCCAGGCTCTGAGTTCAAGGACTAACCTTTAAGAAACCCCTCAAGAAGAGGCAAAAGTGGCCCCCTGATACAGGCTTCATCTGTACGGGGTCCCACTAAAGCACAATAGGATTAATAGTCCAAGTCTTTTACAGCAGACCTCACTGCACAGATAAACCCATGGAGTCAGTATGCCTCAGGCTGCCTGGCCTGTGATAAGACCACAGGGGGCATGCAATGCTCACTCATGAAAGGCATACAGAGGCAAGAGGTTTGGGTGGAGTCCTTCTTCTTTGAGATCACTGGATGCCAAGACTAATCTTCAGCTGCTAGAGCAATTGCTACAAACTTTACAATGGTCAAAGATTTCCTAACATGGTCAGCAAGGTCCAGTCTAGTACTTGCTTATTGTGAATTCCAGGGCTGAGTAGACATATGCCCCTCTGCCTGTTTTGGACTCTGCCCCTGCCATTTCCTTTTTTAAATTGAGGTTGAACTCAAGTTTTGTGCTGGTTAGGCAGGAGCTCTAATAATGAACCATGCCTCCAGTCCAGGCATGCCCCCTTGCTTTTTGTCAGCTGCAGGGCTTGAACTCAGGGCCAGGGTGCTGTACCTGAGCCTCTTGTGCTCAAGGCTAGTGCTCTACAGTGCCACTTCCAGTTTTTGAGTGGTTAATTGGAGGTAAGAGTCTCACTGGGATTCTTCTGTTCTGGGTGGCTTCAAATGACGATCCTCAGATCTCAGCCTCCTGAGTGGCTAGGATTACAGGTGTGAGCCACTGAAACCCGACTTCCAGTCCTCATGGTTTTTTTTTTTTTTTTTTTTTTGCATGAGTTATTTTTGAGATAGGGTTTTTCTGCCTGGGCTATAATCTGCCTATTTTCTGTTCTAGCTAGTACGACAGGTGCATGCCACCATGCTCAGCTTCTTCCTTTCGAGATGATATCTCATGGCCTAGAACTGTTAACCTTTCTCTCTCTCTCTCAGCCTCCCACATAGCTAGGATAACACAAGCATGTGCCACTGTGCCCAGGTATTGACTGAGAAGGGTCTTGAAATGGGATCCTCCTGAAATGGGCAGGCCTTGCAATGGTATCCTTCTGATATAAACCTTCTAAGGTTTTACTATCTTTGGGGGCAGTGGTGTCTTTTTCTTTTTTTGTCAGTCATGGGCATGAACTCTGAGCCTGGGTGCTATCCCTCAGCTCTTCAGCTTAAGGCTAGTGCTCGACCACTTGAGCTATAGCACCACTTTGGGGTTTTTCTGCTTATGTGGTGCTGAGGAATTGAACCCAGGGCTTCAGGCATGCAAGGCAAGCACTCTACCACTGAGCCACCTTCCCAGCCCCAGTGGTGTCTTTTTATAGTAACTAGTACAGCAACCTGCACAGGGGTGGGGTGCAATAAATGCTGATCCATTCAATCACAAGTGGCTATTTCTGCTGAGGCTGACGGGCACCTGTATTCTGGGGAGTACACACAGGTTTACACATACTTGAAGTATGTACATAACAGGCTGAAGCCCTCAGGTGCTTCCTGACCCGGCTGTTAAGAGTAGGAGATAGATAACTGAGCATTAAAGAAGAGTCCTCGTTGGTCTGCACATGCTGGACACCACTGTCCTGCCTCGACTGCATGCACCATGTAGGGACTATTTTGGAATTGCCTTCTGAAGACTACTACCCTGGCTTGGGGACAGCCTGGGCCCTCGAGGAGCCCCCAGCTGTGTACAGAAGACCCTCACAGAACAATGTGTACCTGAGAAATTATCTGTTGAGAGCCACACAATACCAGGGGACTAAGGTTACCCAAGAGAGAAGTAATTTCTTTAGGCTTTTAAACAGAATTACCTGATGTTTCGTTATATCTAAAACAAACCAACGGGGTTTCCAGCCTTTCAGCAGAGCTCCTCTTTTGTACAGTGTTCCCTCAAAGGACCTAGAAGGAATGACAATAGAACAGTTTTGATTTTTCATCTAAAAATGCTATGGAAGGATATGTTGCTTTTCTTCGTCAATTTTCCATTCTCTTAGATGATCCCAAACTGGCCAGTTCTCCCTGGAGTTTTGCTTCTAGATCTCTAGGGAGCACCATGCTTCCAGGTTAGGAATGACTGAAGCAGAGCTGGAAGCAGACCGAAGCCTGAAGACACTGTGTGACTGGCATGCCCTTGGCTGTCCTATGTGAAACAAATTCCTTTTGGCTTCAGCCAGCATGACTGGTATTTCCTTTTACCACTGAAAAAGTGCTGACTAATACAAACACTCAAAAGCTCTGGCAGAAGTAATAACAATTAGGAATCAACCACAACTAACATTTTGGCATTGTTTTACTTGTAATATTTTTCCTCTTCAAATAACCATATAAAGCTTTTAGAAAATCCTGAGGAATGAAAGCAAATCCATTTCCCATTTACAAAAGGCTGTGCTGCACAGCCTAGCTCAGAGGGACCTGTGAGCTTTCTGAGCACACTGAGCAGGGTTCAGCAACTCACCTGTTTTCATCATTCTTGGATGTGTACTGGCTGTAGAGCGTGGCAGCCCTGCGTTCCACCCCATTGGATGGGGAGATGCTGGTATTCTCGTCACCCACATTGCTCTCTGGGAGGTGCAGCATAGGCCTCTTCTGATAGGAAGGTACGTTGGTAGACATAATTCCTGGGGACCCCAGTGGGTATCTTTGGGACTGAAAATGAGAATAGGAGCTAGGAGAGCTTTACAGAGACTTGAAACGACTGAAATTTCACCTACATGAATTTACCCCAAGGAAAAAAATTAGACTAACGAACAAAGATGCATGTATAAAGATGCTTGTTCTGGGGTTATTTATAATAAAACTTTTAGGTAAGCTAAATACATGTGATATTTCTATATGATGCAATTCTAGGAAGCTACTAAAATATACTGATTTTTGCACAGTGAAGGATATATATTTTAACATTAAGTAAAAAGGAAGATTTATAGTATATAATTTCTTTAATATGAACATTTAGAAGTGTGATGGCATAGTATCTTATTTCTGTTATAAATTGTGATTTGATTTTTATCTATTTTACAACAATGTATTACCATATTAAAATAAGTATTTTAATAGGCATAATCAGAAAAAATCAAATATTTCATCTTTTGGGATAAAAGGCATAAAGGCAATACCTATCTGGCCTGTGCAATAATAGCTTCTGAAATGCCTTTTGAAGGCAGGAGACAGAACCCCTTGAAGAGTTTTCTTCTTTTTCTTCCTGGTATGCTCCTCTGAACACTTAACTGTCTTGCTTTCCCTTCTGTTACATCTGAAGTAAATCTGCTGTGGGTATGCAGCTGTGAGATTCTTTACCTTGTCCCCATGCATGAGATGTGGGGGACCCACCCCCCCAACAGTGTAGACTGGATAGGATATATGATCTGGTACTCAGCATAGTAACTTGTACATATTATTTGCTTGATAAATGTTCCTTAAATCAGAAACAGAATATGGAGTGTGAGAAGCAGAAAATGAAGTATTTGGTTTAAAATATTTCTTTGATAAATGTTTCTTAAATCAGAAACAGAGAGGGAAGTGTGAGCAATAGAAAGTAGTATATTTTATCATTTTAAAGTATTTTAATTTTCTCTCTCTGCTTCTTTCTCTGGAGCAAACATAGCTTTGGCATTCCCCTCCTCCCTTGTGTCATAAAACAAAAGCTGAAACCACAAAGGCACCAAGACAGAAAAGAACCCAGTAATTTCCCCTGGATTCTGTGCCCTGAAACCTAAGTATTATGTCACTGTGGTAAAGTGAGACACTCAGGAAATATTCAGGCATTTGGGGCTTTCTTCCCTGGATATCAGGACATGACCTCTCCCTTTCTATCCTTCTGATTGTATACTCCTTGGGTCCTGTGACCTGTGGCAGCGGGCCCCACCTAATCTAGCACCCTCTATAGCTCAGAGGTGTCTATGATAACTCACATGGTCTATTCTTGGCTCTTCCTTAAGGTCCGCTGTTACCTTTTCCCACAACTGGTGCCACTTCTCTGGGGTTTGGTTCAATTTATGCTCCAATTTTTCGATTTCCTGTAGAGAAATGAAAAGAGTTTTCCAAAAGATCAGTTTTTCACAGGTTAGGGTTATGCCCTAGAGCTGTTTCTTGTACTGGACCTAGACAAACAGCAAGGCCAAAGGGGAGCTGAAGAGGGTGGGAAATATGTGATTTCTGAGGTCTCCCAAGGTAGGAAGATTGGTGAGAACATGAGCTGGCATAAAAGATCATTAGCACCTGTCATCAGGTATTTTGTTTTGTTTTTGGGGTTCAGACTGGCTTAAATAGCAAAAGATATAAATGTGTCCCAAACACAATCACCTTCTCATGACTCAGCCCATGATAAATCTGATGGCTAAACCAAAATGCCAACACCATAATGTCACCTCTGTGGCTAGGAGTTGAGAATTCTGTCCTTGACACAGGAGCCTCTCAACTCTGACTCAAACTATATACATGGAAAGAATGAACCACGAGATGCTCAAGGAAGTGGATTTCCCTTTGGACAGGCATCTAGCTCAGTGCCCTAATGCAACACACTCCTTCTGGTTAGAAAATCAGAGGACTCTTAAGAAGTATCTGCCCCACATTAGGGCTCAAAAACATTCCTTAGGGTGACTACTGACAGAATATTCCTTGCAGAAGGTGGTTGGCAGTCATCCCATCAGGCCATCAGTTACCCACACTCCTTACCAGAGGAAGTAAAGCACCCACAAAAGCTTTAGTCCAGACCTGACTAAGCTGAATAGACAGCTAAAACAGTTGGGAAGCTACTGAATGGAACTCCATTTGTATTTGCTCAATTGCTTCCTTGTAATCCTAGGAAGTCTTTTATTGAGGTTCCTTTTCCATAGTTATATATGATATCCTACTGATGCAGGACAGCACATCTGATTTCTTCAGAAGTCCTGCCTCTAACTCTATCCCAGAGTGAGAGCAGCAGTCGAAGCTTGTAAGCCAGTCTTGGCCAAGCCTGGTTCCTGAGTGTTTCTGAGGTCCATGGTGCCTGTAGGTTATGTATCTACCTGTGTTGACTTACACTGAAAAGGCTGGTGAGAGCATCGGGCTGAGTACAGCAGACATCATCATAGCATGGCCACACTGTTCTCCTTTGGCTCTGGGGTCCAGCTCTTCCAGCCAGATCGGACTCTTCAGAGGGGAAGTGTTTAGGGGCCAGCATCAACCAGTCATATGAAGGCCCAGCAGACAGGGTCTCCTCTATATAGTAATCCCACTTCTTGAGGCTGGAGACATTTACATTAGGCTTCAGGGCCTGTTTAAAGAAAACTCTGAAATGTAGTTTTTTTTCTTGGGCTCAGAATACCCTGACAGGCTATCCATTGACATTCTCAGGACCCAAGTGAATGCATGGAGGTTCAGACATCACCCATATAAATATTTAAAAGTTATTCATCAAGATACTGTCCACCCTTAACACCGGGAAGGCCAGGTTTAAAAAAAGAATTTCTGTATTCTACATGAAGTGGGAGCTTCCAGTGAGCTGGTTTCAGCTCCCAGTCTTTGGCATAACACTCCTCCCACCTTGACCCAGCATAAATGCTAAAATGCAGCCTATGAAGCAAAACTTCTGCTGCCTGCTAAACAGCATTTTTTGTTTTTTTTGGCGCAACCTTTGGGCTTAGGGGGTATAAGCACTATTTGGGAGGCAGATTTGGAGAAATAGCCTGTGAGTGGCCTGAATTTGGGCAAGGAAATTTCAGGGTAACTAAAGTATGACTTTGGGTATTTGAGTACTTGACATTGGTCTCTTGAGGAGAATGTAGCTGGAGGAAGGTCCTAAATGCATTGGGCCCAGAATAGGGACCTCCTCTATCTCCTACATTGGAGCAGTACTGCTTACCAAACCTACCTGCTCTCAGAGTCTTTATATGCAGCTACACATGACAGAGTGTTTTGCCCTGAGATTCCCATACTTATTAGGCTGGCTCCACATGCCCCTGCTTCCCACATTGGTCCTCTCAAGGGTTACAGATAGTAAGAAAAAACTCCAAAAGCATTTTAGATTTTCTTTCAGGTTGGGTTATTAGCTCCATCTTAACTCTTGACATTATCCTTTCTAGGTTTTAGGGGTAACCTAATTTTTTTTGGTAAGAATTTAGTGATTCATTTCTATCACAACACAAACTTATAGCAAGCAGCTCCAGCTTTTAAATAGCTTTTGGTATCAGACTTAGCTTAACTATTTATGAAAATATAAACAGCTTATATATACTAAAACTAAAGAAAACATTAACATGAAATATTTTGAAAATGAGCGATGATTTCTTACTCTACCTCTATTTCCACTGGTGAATATAAATAATTAAAGAAAATGGGACTCCGCTTGTGCATTCTGTCAATGCACTCCCAAATACAAATTCCCTTCTTGGCATGCTTGTCTCCTTTATCATCAAATAAAGTTCCTACAAATAAATACAATGGAATGAAGTTAACATTTTACCTGAAAGTATGATATATGTAATAGATGAAAATGAAATGTTGCAGTTTTAGAGCCATATGAAATACATGTACAGAAACCTTACAAGATAACTGCAGTCTAAAGGCAGAAGTAACTTTACAGCTATGTGGAAACAAAACAGAGTGGAAGGAAAACAAACTGGTTAAGTTTTCTAGGCAGTGAGCAGTACATCACTCCTACTCTGTACTCTGTATCCTGTAAATGTATCTATAACCACAGAGGTCGGTGCCAGGAAATACTCTAAACATTTTTTTTTTTTTGCTGGTCCAGTGGCTTGAATTCAGGGCCTAGACACTGATCCACAGCTCTACTTCTGGCTTTTTAGTGGTTAATTGAAGAGTCTCATACAACCTTTCTTGCCCGGGCTGGCTTTGAACCATGATCTTCAGATCTCAGCCTTTTCAGTAGTTAGTATTAAGGGAGTGATCAGCTTGCACTTGGCAGCCCTATACATTTTTTCCAAGAGAAAACAGAAAGACTTAAAAGTTAACTTGATGTAACTTAATTAAAAACCTAATTGCATTTTTTTTTAAGTTGTTGCCTGTTATAAAGTCATTTAAAGCCTTTTCATGTCTAGCAGATAAATGATATTCACAGAAAAGAGGAGACAAGGTGTGTTTCTGTATCCTTGGGTGCTTAAAACAAAGGCATAAGTTAGTGGGGGCATTTAAGAGTTTTCTGACACCACTTTCATACCTTTCAAAATAGATACTGGATTGCTCACATGAGCCTACTTTTATTTTTTAATGGGGGAGGAAGACAGGTCAGGATGAGGCAGGAGGAATTTCTGTAAAAGGCCTGGAAGGATTTATCTCTTAACAGCACTGTCTTTCTTTAAATGAGATAACTGAGCTTAAAGTCAAGAATTTTGCCAGTTTATTAGAAAAGTTCAAAGCAATACAAATTCTCTAATATGTGGGGCCCTTTAACTAATGAATGTTTTTTTTTTTCTACCTCCTCTCCACCTGTTATTTTTTGCTGGTACCAGGGTTTTAACTCAGGGCTTAGTGCTCACCCAGCTTACTGGCTGGTTGCTCTACCAGTTAAGGATTTTTGCTGGCTATTTTGAAAATGAAGTCTGGTATACTTTTCTGCTCAGGCTGGCTTTAAACCTTGATCCTCTAAATCTTGGCTTCCTGAGTAGCTAAGGTTACAGGTGTGAGCCATGGGGACTTTGATTCTTTACTGCAGAGTCCACTGCAGTGGTTCTAAACCTTAAGTCAAATTAAAAAGTCCCCAAGCCCCCAAACCCCTCAATTCTCAGATTCACTTGAGACCAATTATTTCAGAATCTCTTGGGATGAGACTTGGCTATTAAGCATTTTAAGACTTTCCCAAGTGACTCCAATGCTCAAAACTGAGACTGTACTAGAAGTTAGAGTGAACCTTTTTTTTTTTTTTTTTGGTCAGTCATGGGGCTTGACCTCTGAGCCTTGGCACTGTCCCTCAGCTCAAAGCTAGCTCTCTACCACATGAGCCACAGTGCCACTTCCGGTTTTCTGGTGGTTTATTGAAGAGTTTCACGGCTTTTCCTGCCAGGGCTAGCTTTGAACAGCAATCCTCAGATCTCTGCCTCCTGAGTAGCTAGGATTACAGGCGTGAGCCACTGGCACCCAGCTCTAGAGTGAACTTTTAAAGGCCACTCACTTATCTTTCCCTTTGAGAGGGGGCATTGATTAGAATCTTATGTGGCAGTAAAGCCCCATGTGAAATAGGCTCTGGGCACCTTTGCAGACAGCAAGAGAGTGAGCTGAAACCATAAGTCAGCTCAAGAACTGGCCTTCCCTTCCTCAGTGAGCCCCTTTCTCCATTCTAGTGACAACTGGTAAATGGATCCAGGAACAATGGGCTTTTCTTACAATGTCCAACTGGCTGTCTTAATATGTGTATATGAAAAGGGAACAACTTAAAAACAGCTCACAAAATCAAACAGATTACCTTAAAAATAGTTCATATCATCATTTGACTAGTGTCAGATTCCATCAGTTTATAATCCTACAATCCATTATTACAATCACGATTATTATGTAGTATTATCTAATCACCATTATAATCTCTATTTATTACTCTTCAAAGTCAAGGGAGAGTTCATGGTATTTAGGATTTTCTGATGAAATCTTAATTATGACTGATGCATCCCATCAGCAGTGATTGAGGGTCCTACTCTTTTGGTCTTGGCAGGTAAAAGGTTAGTTACTACAGCTGTTCCTAAATGATGTTTCACTGTGTAAGTTTCATATTTCCTGTGTCTCCTAACATAACAGGAACAGACCCCAAGCTGGCAATCCAGACTAGGCTGGGGATACAAAAATCAGGCTTCGGGCTGGGAAGGTGGCTCAGTGGTAGAACGCTTGCCTTGCATGCTCAAGGCCCTGAGTTCGATTCCTCGGCACCACATAAGCAAAAAGAAAAAAGCCGGAAGTGACGCTGTGGCTCAAGTGGTAGAGCACTAGCCTTGAGCTGAAGAGCTGAGGGACAGCGCCCAGGCCCAGAGTTCAGACCCCACGACCAGACCAAAAAAAAAATCAGGCTTCTTTGATGCTAATTAGGAAAGTGGCCCTTAGGCCATTTGTCCAGAGAGTGGGGAAGAGAGAGGGCTCTTCAGCAATGACACTCTAGGATCCTAAATGCATGTTATGTATTTTATGAAAAAAACATGAGATTAGGACACAGGATGGGAATTGCATTTTCAAGCCATCATGATCTTTCAATACATACCAACTATATTCCTTTACATAATTTAATCCTTTCATTTTGTTTAACCTATGAGTAAGAAGTAGACAAATAGCCTTTACCGGTTTTTCAGATGAGAAAACTGGTGCTCAGAGAGATGAAACAGTTTTCCAGCATCACCAATACTTTCTAACTTAGTTCAGTGTGTTCTATCCACTGTACCAGCTGTGTTAGCCTTGATAGCATAGTGGAATTATCTGGGTACTTTAGCAAGTTATGGCTGTCCTAGGACCTACCACCAGATTCTGACCTGGTTGGCTGGAGGTATTTCCTGGATGTTGGGAGCTTTAGAGAAGTTCCCAGGTGATTCTAATGTTGAGTCAAGTTTGAGAATCATAGTGTTAGGTCTTGCTGCTTTTCTGATTGAGAGCCATCTGCTAAAGTAGAAGCCTTGGCTTTGGCTATATTTTCATGCTGCTAAGGTAATTTGCTCACTAGTTTAATTAGCAAAACATAAGCCTATTTATGAACCAAACATTGGATGCCAGTGGCTTGCACTTGTAATCTTGACTACTCAAGAGGCTCAGATCTGAAGATTGTGGTTCAAAACCAGCCGGGGCTGGCAAGTCCCTGAGATTCTTAGTCCAATGATCCACCAGAAAAGCTAGAAATGGAGCTGTGGCTATAAGTGATAGCTTTTTCATTCAGGCTAATACTCTAATTCCATGAGTCTGCAGGTATAAACAAAATGGCGGCCAGTTGGATAAGTAGTCCCTACCAAAAAGTGTGAAATGTAGTAGGCAACTTCAAAGGCCTGCCCTAGAAAGTATTTTTTTATGTCAGATTTTAAATGAGATTTTTGGCAACTATTTTCTTGTATATTTTCTCCTATGGTACATAGGATATATTACATATGGCTTACCGTTTTTTAGTTTGCTTATCTTTTTAACAAAAGTAGTCATGGATATTTCTCCCACCTCCATAATAACAAAAGGAACATACATTTCCCTTAGGAAATGTTTTCAGGGTCTTTCACAATCTTTACAATATTGTATTAAAAAGTGTAATAATATCCTGGCGCTGGTGACTCGAGCCTATAATCCTAGTTTCTCAGGAGGCTGAGATCTGAGGATCGTGGTTTGAAACCAGCCAGGCAGCAAAGTCTGTGAAACTCTCATCTCCAATTAACCACTTGAAAACCAGAAGTGGTGCTGTGCTCAAGTGAAGAGCACTCACCTTGAGCTGAAGAGCTCAGGGACATTGCCCAGGCCCAGAGTTTAAGCCCCATGACCGACAAGAACAAAAAACAAAAGTGTAATAATGCATCTAAAATTTATCAAGGCTTAATAAGTGCTAGTGCCAATATATTTATAACTATTTTCTCATGTGATCACCAAGGCCCTAATGAATGGGCTATCATAACCTCATTTTAAAGATGAGGAAGTTGGGGATCAGGAAGTATGAAATTTCACCAGAGTAGATAGATGGTAGCTAGAATTGCTGAATTTAACCCTGGCCTGTTTGTTTTGGCACTTTACCTCTTGAACCATACCTCCAGCCCAGCTTTTTGTTAGCTTATTGAAGATGGGGTCTTGCATACTTTTCTGCCTTGGCTAGCTTCAAATCTTGAACCTCTGAGTCTCAGCCTAAGAAGCTGGAATTATAGGCATGGTCCATCTGCACCTGGCTGAGTCAAACATTTTTTATAACTGTGATATAACTTTGAGGCATCAAAATAGTAAACTTTACAAAGTTCCTATAAGAATAAATACCTGCTGCCAGGTGTTGGTGGCTCATGCCTGTAATTCTAGCTACTCAGGAGTCTGAGATCTGAGGATTGCAGTTCAAAGACAGCGGAGGCAGGAAAGTCTGTGAGACTCCTATCTCCAATAAACCACCAGAAAACTGGAAGTGGCATTGTGGCTCAAGTGGTAGAGTGCTAGCCTTGAGCTGAAGAGTTGAGGGACAGTGCTCAGGCCCAGAGTTCAAGCCCCACAACCGACAAAACAAACAAAAGAATACTTGCCATCTTTAAGAGCTAAGAAAAAAATTTCAGAATAAGGCACTTATTCATATTCATTCTACTTTCGTAGCTCAGTTTAAAACTCTACTTCTAAGCTTGTCTTACTTGCGGGCAGTGACATAATTTTCATTAAAAACAAACAAAACTAACAAAGATGAAATAAGAGTGTATAAATGTGTTGACATACCATGCTCTAACCTTTCATAGTCTGAATCCAGGAGAAATGTTTTAAACCGATTAGATACATAGTGGAAGGCCAAAAACTTTAAGTAATAGAGATTGAATTCAAACTCAGTTGGATACTGGTTGTGCACCTGAAATATAAAAGGCAAAGAACAAAGGCAGGATCAGAACAAAAAGTAAATGCCAGGTCAGTGAGTACTGACATGAAATATGCAGGAGAACATTTGGTTATTCATCCAACAAATACTTGTATCTCTATAAGACAAAGAGATAGGGAAAAAAGAATCTTTTCTAAGTACTAGGTTTCATATTAGGGTTTTTTAAATATTTTGCTTAATTTTGACAGCACTGCAAGATAAGCATTATTGCTCTTTTCATTTGAAAAGCTTAGAAACAGCAAGTTATTTACTTAGGGCCATTAACACCAGTGAGCTGAAATTTGAACACTGGTTTGTTAGGCTGTAACATCTGTACCCCATTCACTATAGTATACCATACAAAGCACTGGACAGATATCACATCAACAAGTTAATAGTTTTTGTGATATAACAGTGGGGCAGAACTACAAAATTGCATTCATAGAATTTTGGCACAGGAAAAACCAGGAGGATGAAGTTGTGTCTTAAGGTAACAACAAGTGACATTTTCTGGACAAAAGAAATGTGTGCATGTCCAGCAATCCATAAGGAACCAACAGAGTCACTAAGTAAAGAAATAAGGCTGTAGAAAAGCAAGAACGAATGAGGCTAGGACTGAGATATACAGAACTGCCTTGGAAACAAGGAGGATTACAGAAGATATAATCTTCACGTGCCAACAAGGGGCAGGAACACACTCTTTTAACCATTTTTTTTTTTTTTTTTTACCAGTTAAACAGCAAGGTCCTAGATACCAAGTATAAGGATGATATGGGAGGAGAAAAGTAGGGCAAAGCTTGGAAGTTGTTATATCACTCTATGTTTACCACACAGGGAGATTCTGAGAAGCAATCTTATATTGGCAAGGGTATGCTAATGACCTGTGACTTCCTAACCCACTAGGCAACTTCACCTCTGTTATGCTCAATTTCTTATGACCAGTTAAGAAAATTTTGCTTGGTTGAGAAAAGTTCCATACTTGCTTAAAAGTTGTTTCAAATAAATACTATAGACTAATAGCTTTCCTTTCCATGTAAAATTTGGTCATGAAGACACAAACTTGTTCAGCTTAAGTGGGCAGGCATGTATGTAATATATGAACCAATAAGAATTTTAAGCCATGATCTTGACATCAAACTTTACCATCTGGTTAGAAACCTAGTTTTTTTTTTTAATGAGGAAATTTAATGTAACAATCTCACATTTATTTTACAAATTTTGCCATTGTCTGAAATTATACAGGTCATGCATATTATGGCAATGGAAACAAATCATTCTAGTACTCCTTTCTACCTCAACTGCACACCATATATATTTCCTTTAGGTGCTGATAGTGAAGCTCAATTCCTTATATTTCTGCTTTCTAGGTCTATGCTACTTTTTCATCCCTAATCCGAACTTTAGGTATTTTATGAATAATTAAGTAATATAAATATGAGTAAATTAAATATGTAACTCAGAATCTATCTTATCTGAGAAATGCTGCCTCAATTTCTTTGATTTTTGTTGTTGTATTTGTCGGTCATGGGCGCTGTCCCTATGCTCTTTAGCTTAAGGTGAGTGCTCTAACGCTTGAGCCATAGCGCCACTTCCAATGGAGAGTTTTTTTTTTGTTGTTGTTTTTGTTAGTTTCTTTGACTTTTCATGTCACGACCTTGAACTTTCATTTAGCTTTTGAGTAATTGCATAAAAGAATGAACTTTCATGTGATTATCTTCATTTATTTATTCCTAGTTTCTAATAGAAGGAAAATATATTATCTTCTCAGATGAAACCAAATTATAAACATAAATATGAGAAACCTAATTTTTTGTGATGACTTAATTGCTCTCTCCTCTCCACTTTGCAACATTTCTTAGCTTTTTCATTGAATGAAAGCTTATAAGTAGTGCAAAATAAAATAGAATTTAGGAAGATGCATTAAAAGAATCTGAACCATATTCAGTGGGCCTGCATACACAGGCCTTGTAGGGTTTTGGAATTTCTATCAAATAGAATCTCATCAGCTTTTACTTCATTTTTTAATGAAGGGACTGAGTCCTATGCTGTGATTATGATATATAAGCATATTCAATCACTTATTGGGGGATTCCCAGAATTTTGACTACTACACATAGAGCTGCTACTTCTGTACAAGTCTCTGTAAGGACCTAGGCTTTTTTTTCTCTAGAAAATTCTTAGAACTAAATGGTTGGTGTATGTTTATAACTTTTTAAGAAATGGCCAAATTGTTTTTCAGAATGGTTGTATAATTTTATAATCCCAAAAGCTGTGTGTGAAAATTTGAGGTCCCTCATATTCTTAAAAAAATGTGAATGGTCAGGTAAAGAGGAGTAAAATGGTATTTCATTATGACCTTCATTTGTATTTGCTAAAAACAATGTCATGTATTCTGCCATTTGTATATTTTTGGCAAAGCCAGTAAAATGCTTTACCTATAAAAAAATACCCTTGCTTATTTCTAGACAAAATTTACCAGAGATAATGGTCTATAGTTCTCTTTTACAGTCTGTGTCATCTAATGGTAATGCTGGCTTAATGGACTGAATTGGGAAGTAGTCACTTTGTTTCCACTTTCAGGGAAGAGTTTGTTTTTTTTCTTCCTGAAGTGTTGGTGAATTTATCAGTGAGGCCACCTCGGTCTGAAATTTTCACTGTGGAAAAACCTTAGTTTCCTTAATAGATATAGGCCTATTCAAATTATTTCTTTTTGAGTAGGTGGGGTAGTGGGTGGCTTTCAAGGGTACTTACCATTTTGCCTACATTGTTGGCTGACAAGTTTACAGTTATGTCCTTTTCTTTATTTCTAATATTGGTGGTTCCCTTCCTTCTTTCCTTTTTTTTAAAAAAAATTTTGCTTCAGTCAGTCTAGCTACAGGTTTATCAATTTGAGGAATCTTTTCAAAGATAGCTTTTGGTTAGTTTTCTTTCCTATTGACTGTAAGATTTTTCTTATCCTAATGCATTTTAAGTGTGCTTCAAATAATCATAATTATGTAGCATTGGGAATGATAGGCATCTTAGCCAGTAAACTCTGAGCTTTTCCCTATGCAAATGAATACTTGCTTCTTTCAGGTATCATCTGGGTTCTGCTATTCAAAATAATTTTATATTACTGAAGATAAATTATGGAAGGCATTTTAGTATTTTTTCCATTAGGGAGTGAAACCTGCCAGTTTACTTATTTATAGGAACTGAATCTAAAATGGAATTTGGAGAAACATGAGTCTTTATAGTCTTTTTGTCCATGTGCCATTAAATTCTTTGTAAAATTTAAAAGGTCTATAAAAAAGGTATCACTCAAGTCTCAGAAAAGAGCAACATTTTTGTAATAAGATATAATGAGATTATATTCTGCTTTCAAGTATTACAAGTAATAAAGTATAAGAAATATTATACACAACTACGAGTATGGCTAGATACATTAAAGAAAAGTAAGTAGCTAATACCAAACCTTGTTATTTTACAAATTAAGATTTAACAAATATTGTGCACTTTATCAACCATTTTACCTAAGATTTAAAAATTCCATTATATGGGCTCAATATTACAACACTTAATGAAAATTTGTTTTAAGAGTTTAGATTATGTAAAGTTTTGCTAGTTTTCAGTTGAAAGGGTGGCAGCCAGATGCAGCAATATGAACAGACCATGCTTCCATCAGTTGCAGCTATGAGTGAATAAATTTTAGAGTAACCAGTGTCCATGGGGCAGATTAGCTGATCACATAGTTCAAAATGAAGTTTCCTGTCTTCAAAAGGAAAATAACTTTTGCCTTTGGAGTAGAATCTGGCTTGGTGCTGGCATGTAGTAATGACACAGAGAACCACATTAATGAGCTAATTTACAATGTGAATAATCTATGGCAAAAATCAAACTGTTAACTTTTCTCAATGTAGGAAATGATAAGTTTCTAGAATTCTCTCAAAGATTTACTCCAATGCTGAAACAAAAGGGGTACTTCATTCATATTGAACATATATTTTTCATTTGGAAAACTCATTTTTAAAAAATTTAGATTAAAATTTCATTTTGTATTTTGGATGTATTTTCTTTTGAAAGATTTGGCTCAACTATTTCAAGAAAAGGAAGTATTTTGTAATGATATAATTTGAACTAAGCCCCTTCTTTTAGAAGCAACACAAAACATCTCTGCCAGATTGCTCTTATGAAATAGTGATCTAGCATTTACAATTCATCTGACACCTGGATATACTGGCATAAACAATGGCTTTTTAGATGATGAGGCACTTCTAATTTAAGATCACTACTTCATGTGTTTTCTTTGTAATTTTATTAGTACTAATGGACAAGTCTAGGCATATGTCCATGAACTGCCTTTTGGCAAAGTATGTTAGAAATGATTAACAAGCCAGAAACAGATTCTACCCAGGAAAGGTTTCACTTACTGCTGTGTTAATTTTGAATTAAAAAAAAAAACCACATTATTGGGCCTGGCTCTGTTTTGTGTCCCTGAATTATTTGGCGAAAGTCGAAGTAATGTAAAGCACTGTTCAGTTGAAAGGCACTCAAAGAAAGCATTTTTTGAATGTCTAAAACTAGTATGTAGGAAATGATGGAACCCTGCCTTATAATTAAGCCACCAAGAATCAGAAGCATCATTTGCTAACTATAGACTTCTTAGATTCCTCTGTTCTCAATAAACTATGCATCTTCAGCACAAAATAATTTGTTTGACCAAAGCTGATACCAATCATAGTTAAGCATCCTGAAATTACTACAATTAAAGTTACAGGCTCTTTGTTACAACTTGTCTGAATTCAGGTTAGCAGGTATGAGGTATTAGCTTCAAAGGGGTTTTACAAAATCTAGAACAGTTTTCAGTTTCAATGGAAATAATTTAAACATTCAGCTAGATTTGAAAATCATACTAAAAGGGTCGTTAGATCCTGAATGATATTATTTTCTACAGTTTGTGAAGCATTCTCTAGGAAACAACTAAGTTTAGAAGTAAATTTGTATTGTTTTATTTC